CAAAAATAGTCATTCATGCTTTGCCAAGAAAGAGAGATTTTAAATCTGCATAGTCCATAATGATCTCATATCATAAACAGTATTGGTAACTCATTTTATTCTGCCACATCAAACAGTGGAATGAAGGGTGGCTCTGGACTTCTTAGATTTAAGATAATCATATACATATGTAGAAATGTATGATTTGAAACTTTATCTCTAAGTTCTCTAACAATAATGTATGTTGTACCCTTCTAAATTTTGGATGAATTATTTTGTCACCTCTCATTTGAAAATCTAATTCCACCAATGCCCACCTTGAATAGGAAGCAGAAATTATTCTACATGGAGACCAGACTCAGAACTCCGTCCGGAGACTAACTAGAATGTCTCATGTCAGCAGTACCGAGCAGTACCAAACCATGGTACCGAGCAAGGGATGACATGGTGTATTCTTGTTGGTCTCCGAACAGAATAATTAATCGGAGGGGGGTGGGAGGATCCTGGGATTTGAGAGCCACATATGCAAATACAAAGTGGCTCATCTATCAAGTATTTAAAGCCCTTAGATTAATATTAAGTACCTTTTTTGAGAAATGTTCTCTTTCAACTTTCAAGTGATGGGTGAGCCACTTGCAAAATTTGCATGGATGCCCCTTGATTCCAGGGGGGATTTGGGAGCCACTTGTGAAAAATACAAGTTCTATGCAAATCCACAAGTGGCTTAGTTACCAGGTGTTTTGCCGCGCTTGGATTAAAATCTAAATGTTGCAATTAAAGTGCCTCTTTGCTAATTGCTCTCTTCATAGTTCCCATAAATTGTTACATCAATGTCAAATCTAGGAACTTTAAGATATGAGACTAATATTAACCATTACCTCCATGGAACATCTCCAACCAACATCCAGTCCCCATCTTTGTCTTCATACGTCAGTGCAAACTCATTAGAACCATCTAATAGCTTCAATGGTTTCATTCCATCTGCAAACAATGTCAATATAGCTCAAAGTTCCAAATCAAATATATATTCACTATTAAAACAAACATATTAGCCATACATAACAGACTAAGGGGCTTTTTGGCAACAGTAATTTAGGCTTTTGTCTGAATTATTTTTTTGACTGGATAAAAAAAATAAAGTGTTTGAAAGACAAATTTTTTAATTTTTGCCATTAAAAAGTTATTGTTGAAAAGGTATTTTTGGAATTGCCACTAAAAAGCAAAAATAGTAAAGCTTAATCCTCCCCAAATGGAGCCGTAATAAATCATGTAAATCCATACTTAGTAAATCTTAAAAGATTATAACCTGAAATTTATGGTTAAATATTACTAAATCCTAATAAGCAACTTAACTATTTGTTTCAAAGAAAAGAAATTCCTAAATCTATAAATTTATATAAATGATGGGGTTTACAAAAGGAAAAATGTCCTATCCAGATATGTAGATCCAAGTTTTGATTATAATGAATCTCAGAATCCTTAAAAATGCTTTAAGATGTAGTAAATAAATAATTAATACCACACTCATCACAAAGTAAATTTAAGAGATTTGAGTAGATCCAAACTATTTTGTGATTTGGATATCCTGATATAGAATTCTTATTAACAAATCTTACATTTAACCAATAAAGAGACTGAAAAGATATTTATAAAAAGAAAATGATTTAAAGCCTAAAACATTCTACTAATAGGAAACCAAACAACCACTAAAAATAAACAAAGCAATAAAGCTTACAAGAAGAGGTGGGTTTGTAGAACATGATCTCCAGAGCAAGGGCAAGTGTTTTGTACGATTCATGTGCATTTAAATCAACTTTCCTACCAATAGGATCACCATCCATTTTCACCTTAACGAAACGAGAGCCATCAAAGTTCTTGTTGTCTTTGATCTCTTTGGAAACCATGGCTTTCTGTTTCAAGTTGGAGTTGTGGATTTTCTTCTTCTGTTCACTTGTATTAGATTCAGGAATGCTGTCTTTGTACTGGTTGGCCATGTTATTCATTCTAAAAGCCCGAACTGGTGGCCATCCAACCAATCCTTGACTGGAATCAAAAGAGTAAAAATAAAAAAGAAGCAAAAGGACAATAATGTAATAGCGATAGCTATAAATAAATAAAAATTCATTGATGTAAAATAAAAAATAAAGGTTCATGCATTTAAAGAAAAAGAAAATGACAGTATTTGTATATTTAATATTTTTTTTTTTTACATTTAATTACATAACACTTAAACCTCTCAATTGCATAAAAAAATAAACTCGTTTCTCTCTAGCTCTCTTCTTCAACTTATCAAGACTTTTCTTTGAGTTATGAACTAGCAAAAAATCATCTCTCTATACTAAAATAGCATAAATTTACATTCACATTGGTTGCAACATGGTACATTTATTTTCAATTTAAATTAAAACATATTTTGGCTGTTGCTAATTTTAATTTGCAATTCAGCTCGAACATAATTAAAAGCTATCAGATTATAAATACGATTAATTTTTACAAATTTAAACAGACACATTTAGATAGGGAATAAGCTAATTTAGGAGATCATGAGATATGACGACATGTTTAAAAAATGATAAGCCAAAACTGAACAAGCCCATTTGTTTGGCTCAAAGAGGCGAGACCATCTAATGCGTTACACATAGATAAAAAATTCAAAGCAACTTAAGAAGAAAAAATGCAAGCGCTAGGCCAAAATGAAGAAAAAAAAAAAAACGGGGATTTACCGACATACCACAAAATATATATACATAAGTTTTAGATATATATAAATCGCTAAAAAATTAATTCTAAAATCTAACGAGGAAACCAACTAGTGATCAGCTTACAGAAGGTAGGCACAACCCAAACAAAAATACGCCCACCAAAAAAAAAAAAGTTTCAAATCCGACCAATAAGGAAAACCCCATGAAAAAACAACGAAAATAAGCCATCTAGATCCAAAAACCAAGATTAAGGGGGAAATAAACTATCAACAAGATGTAAAATCAATACAAAAAACATAGATACAACATAAAACAAAAAAAAAAAACAAAGAAGAAGCTCACCTGGTCTGATTACCCGCCCCGC